AGCGCCAACATGCCAGTCAACCATGTATTTTGACGTTAGGCCTAGGATAGTACTGTAGAGAAAAGCTGCACTTAAAAGTCACATTTATGAAATGCATTATGGATAAGAATAAACAAGAATTTTAGTAAACCTAACCATGCACCATGTACTTACAGTACACAAGGCAGAGTGACTATCATTAACAAAAAANATGCCAACAACATTTTAGTCAGTTGCACTGCTTCTGCCTCTCGTCTGCTCTGTGTCACAGGCACGGTTCGGAGCTGATTCATACTTCACGTGAAAGACATGCATGCTGTGGTGCGCACAACTCAGTATAGACCGTGCACGATCCTGAATGCTCATACTTTTAGCGCCAACATGCCAGTCAACCATGTATTTTGACGTTAGGCCTAGGATAGTACTGTAGAGAAAAGCTGCACTTAAAAGTCACATTTATGAAATGCATTATGGATAAGAATAAACAAGAATTTTAGTAAACCTAACCATGCACCATGTACTTACAGTACACAAGGCAGAGTGACTATCATTAACAAAAAATTTCCATAAACTGAAGGATGAATTTCTGATATTACAGACTAGATGCATTCTGAACTGCAAGAGGGGCTCCACACAGTATTATTTACTAGTCAATCTATGTCAGCACAAAGTACCTGAACGAAACAACCACTGTCAAGGAGCATATTCCCATATTTCTGTATACAGCAGTTTCAGAAATAAAGTAAAGATTGTCTACCATCCATCCATCGACCACCTGCATATTCGGTACAGGGGTGCTGGAAGGCCTGGAGCCAATCCCAGGCAGGACAGAACATACAAGAGGAGCAACCTGGATGGGATGCCAGTCCAGCACATACACTTGCATACAAAATCATCTCATAGTAATTCTGAAAGTGCATCAATCCAGATAATTTATGATGACACTGAACGAATGGGGGGGAAGCTTGACAAAGAACAGAGTAATAATCGATTAGTCTGCATCAAATCTAACTACTTGGTATCGTGTTTTTTTTTTGCTTTGTATTTTACCAGACTTAAAGGACCAATCAAAATACAGTCCAATAACCAAGATGTTTACTGGCTACTGGTACTGGAAGATGTTAATCTAAATTATACAGGCACAAACACATACACGCACACACAACCCCACCCACACAATTACAATTAAAAATGCAATAAAAATAACTGTAAATATTAAAAGTTCGGTGCCACTTTATAATAAGGCTACCCATATAAAGAGTTTATGAATGTTATAATCTGGTTATTAATTAAGTTGTAACACTTTGTAAATTATTAATAGATGATTTTAAACAAGTTATAACACTGTTTTGTTTTTATTAATGACTTACTACCATTTACAAGCGGCAAAAGGGAGCCTTAATGTAAAGTGGGACCAAAAGTTCAACTGTCATCCAGGCACCCGCCAAACCACAAGACCGAAGCAGCACTTAAAACTGCTGCTTGCAATATACAGAATCACTGCTGCACCTCTCTGACAGCCCAAACCCACATCTCAGAACGACATATTTAACAGAGGACAACATGCCACACCAAATGGCATCTAAGCAGCACATTGGTACCAAATATACAACTGCACACAGAAGCGAATTGTTCTCTTGTTATACACTGAAAATACAAATGGCAGTATCATAGTTCCCGTTTATACCCAGAATAAGAACTGACGAGGCGTCTGCGTTACACTCTAACAGGCCTGGATTCTGCCTCTCTGTGGAAAACTGCATAATACAAGGTACCGACGACCGTTAATAGCCCACACATTTCACCTAAAGCCTTGCTCTGAATTAACTGAACTGAAAAGAATCTGCATTTATGCATTTTTGACACACATGTAGAATGAGGAATGACTGACCGGCATCGTGAAAAATGGGTTATCCTTGATTGGGTATCGCCACGTACCATCTACAACATTAAAGCGTTAAGGGGTTACGAGCTGATGTGGCACGAGGCACAGCCACAAGCACACTTTTACCGCCACATATCGGGAGTCATGGATACCGCTCGAGGCGTCCCCACGGTCAGCAACGGGCCCAGTGCTCGTGAGCAGCCAACGGCTATTTATAGAGGCCGGACCTGAAACTCGCTCATGACCGATGGGTTGCCGACGCGTTGTCAGAAGTGACAAACCCTGAGGGAACGGCACGGTAGGGAACGCGCCCTGGCCCTCATTCTCATTAGCTCATCATAATATACTGCAATTAATATAGAGACGCTTTTGCAGGCACTGCAGAAATCAGCGACATGATCCTCACGATATACCAGCGGAGTCTCAAGGTCAAGTTTACCTGGAGCTTGACTTTCTTTTTTTGAAGGAAGATTGGCAGTTCCTAAATACATGTAAATCAAACAAACATCAAAAACATTACCTCAGTTTATACAGTAAATTCACAAAGAACCACCTGTTTATTCGTTTATGCAAAGTTAACAATTTGCTAAACTAAAATTCCAGTTACCACTACAACTGTATGAAACGTAAATAAAATGAAAAGTAAATACTGCACCAAAACCTTGCAAAGGGATGAGTGTCTGGATAGAATGTAAACCAGTACGTTATGAAGTTCTGGAAATTTTAGAGCCCCCTGCCCCCTCCCCTATTTCTCTTAAGTGCTCTTCCTGACTTTTACGGTCTTTTTGCAGAACACCCTACATGATAGGATCTAATAAAAAGCCACAAATGCGAAGATTTAAAGCCATAAATGAATACGGAAAATAGTGATTGAGAAACATTTCTACAGCAACCTGTCCAGTAACTATATAGCAAGCAAGCGCTAGCAAGACCGCTCACGTGTTCGCGAGGTGGGCAAGAGACGACTGCGAAATCCAGAAAAGGGGTACCGCCCACTCAAGCGTTTCTTCAAAAGTGATAATAAAGTCAGAAATACTGCCGCTTTATCACGATAAATGCGGATTTTACTGTAATTCTGTTATTACAAATCATGTACCCACGCGTTGACTTAGTTAAATGCGTTGATTTAGTTAAATGTACAAAACGCCTAGGATACACAGAAAGTTGTACATGAACCTGCTGAATGGCAGCCTTTTGAAATAATTGCGTTCGCACTGTGGTTTGAGAGATGTAAACGTTTTGATTATTGATAATATCATAAAAAAAGTGCTGTTAACAGATTTAGTTAAAAGAAAATCGTTGCCTGCAGCCATCGCTGTCTACGGCCCCCAAAATACAGTGAGCATAAGCGGCTATAAAATATCATCTACACGTCGTTAAAATGAGGTATGTCGTTTATTAAAAGGGCAAAGAAAAAGACCGCCAAATGACTGGCTATGATCTTTTACATTCGCTTCAATGGGACTGCTCAGTAATTAAATGAGTGTTTAAAAACGGGCAGTTATCTAGTTGCCAACGGGCTAGCTTTACCAACGATGTACGGTATGAAACACATGCACCACAATATCTGCAGATAATAAACATTGGTTTAGGGAAACCATATTTGGATCTTAAGGATTTGCCCGGAACGTACAGAAAATCCATAAGACAGCTTACAGAAAACATCAAAAAAAGATTTTAAAGCAATTACAATCGAGTTACTCACTGAGAAACAATCAGCTGATAGAACGGTGACTCAGTAGACTACAGCACTTCCGCATTCAATAGCGATGACCTATGTAAGAGCCAATCCTGAACATCCTGCAATACCAATAGGCGCTAAGCATAAGACCGGATGGCGTCATTGACTGGCTTAACGCAGCCAATGACAGTTCAGAACAGGGGGGTACCCTGCGCGTTGAGAATGGCGTGAACACACCCACTGTAGAGCCAATCAAACAACACCAGCGGAGCACACATGGCCAACTACAAAGGCAAGGGGTGAGAGCCAATAGAAAATCACAGCGCGGCACAATGTGAATCACATGTTGCTGTGTGACGGCGTGATTTTAAAGTGGTAGCACTGAAAAAACGTTTATAGTCAAGAGCCTGTTCGAGAAACTGCGCCCCTTGTTGGATGTGTTCCGTGATCACGAGTCACCTCCCAATGTGTGCACATCTTTCATATTTATTTCCGCAACTAAGGAAACTTGATTCAGTCCTCTACCAGCCATGTATATGTATAGCTATGTGTATTCTGAAAGTTCACAGATAAGATAGGGATTGCCAGCCTTTTTATGACGGACTGGCTTATTTAAATTCAAAGTAAAGTAAAACTTATCGACCTGGGTGGGGGGGTGCTCTCGGGGATAAATTTAATAAGTTAAGTGAGCTTCATCGTTTCCATTTTTTTTCCACGTGCAGTCAATACGCGCGATCATAAGGGGTACCAAAAAGGCGTGGCTTAGAAATAGGCCTACATACTAAAGTTTATCTTTGGACGTTAAGCAACCCCTCTCAAAGCCTCTAACGTTCCGTCGCATTATGTAATATGACTTTGCACTTCACTTAAGACTTTTAGCACGTTTAAGGTGAAAACAAAAACTTCACTTATTTGTGAACCACAGATCTTTTCCTGTTGTATGAAGGTGGTGTGTGGTTCAGCGGGTTAGGATGCTGTGCCTGTGAAGGTTGCTGACTTTGTTATATTACGGTCGCCAGAGTGATTAGTTACTAGTCACCCCAGTAGCTGGAAGTAGGGGTGCTGAGGGTGCTTCAGCACCCCCTCTGGTTGTTGGTGGTAATGCAGTGAACTCAATGTTAACTGCCAAACAACAGGGACTGTCTGACCCTGCCTTCTCCGTTATACGTCGCTTTGGATGAAAGCATGTGCTAAATAAATTAAATGTAATGTAAATTATATAAATTGTACTCCATCCATGTCCTGTAACTGCTTATCCTATTTAGGGTCATGTGGGGTATGGAGTCTGTGCTGGAGGCTACAATGCACAAAGCAGGGAACAACCCAGGATGGGATGCCAACCCAAAGCAGAGCACATTCACACTAAGGACACAAGGCAGGGAACAACCCCAGATGGGTGCCAGCCCATCACAAGGCACACTCACACACCATTCACACCTACACGCAATTTGGTAACTCTAATTAACCTCAGCATGTTTCTGGACTGTGAGGAGAAAGCAGAGTACCCAAAGAAACCCCCACAATGACACGGTGGAGAACATGCAAACTCCACACCTATGGAACCCAGGTCCCAGAGGTGTGAGGTAAAAGTGCTAATAACTTCACTACCATGTTACCCCATAAACTATACTCCTATTTACCATAAGTTATTCTTGTCCTTTCTAAATAGGCAGTGATGCTTTGAAGAGAATCCATAACAAAAGATCTATTACACATTAGGTATTCTTATGAATTCCTGACTGCAATTTCTTTCATGCAGAGGTATGCACTTTCACATTCGGTCTGACATAAATGTGAAGGGAAATGATGTGTTTGCCTAAAAATAAAGGAGGAAACGTACTAGAATGACAGTAGTGTTTATGGCTATTAGGCATATGTGTATATCTGATAAACGCTCTGAAACAATTGCATATCAGGAACATTTCGCATGTGTCCGGCTACATCTTACTGCCATCCCCATGGTTCCCGACTGTGGATAAGCATTTGGGACTATTTTGGTTCCCTGTCTTCATGCTAATCTTTTGAGCTGACTTCACATGCTCTATCACACCGTCATTGGTCATTCAAGTCTTGACCACTCCTAGACGGATGTGAGAACACTGGAGCCTGCCACTAAGGCCTGGGGGGCTGGGGGGTGGCATTCGCGGCATTCTCACCTGGCTTAGAATACTCCAGCCAGGCATGACGTAATGTCCAGCCAAAAGGAGCTGATTTAATTATTCACTGATTTGGTCCATTTCTATTACATCAGATTATGTGATTATAAGGTATTTGTGTTGTTTAAAATGAGTTATTTTGATAAATTGTTAGTTAATAAGATATGCACCTCCCCCCAAAGTTTAAATAAAATTATACTTTTGGAATAATGGATTTCAAACCTTGTCATTTGACAATCTTGTAATGCCTTTTAAGGATTTTTCTAGATTGACTTTTAGTCAGTTAGTTTTAAATCAGAGGGAGGATATATTTTTTCTTGTGACATCCTAGTGTCAGCAGAGTGATTTCTTCCTGAACAAGGCTTTAAACCCAATAGCACTGTAAGTACGGGTGTAAAGAACACTTAGTGTAAAAGATGTGACTGTGGGACTGTTTCTACTCTTCGAATTCCAGTGACTGGCCAGCAATGGCTGGCAGCTGCCTGGTTACAGCAAAAAACGTTACAACGGCGGATAGCTTTGAGCATTACAGGCCCCCTTTCAAGCTACATGTGACAGCAGAGCTGCCTTTTGTGTTAATGACTGGTACGAGGACAGAGTTATGCCCCTGTCATGTGTGTTGCTTGAGTTCCTTGAGTAACATAGTAAAAAAAAATAATAATAGCACAACAGCTCCCCCTAGAGTTGAAATGCAGCTCATGCCTGGACAGATCTACAGTGTCCTCAGAAATGCTCCACATTTTCTGTACTTTCCAGGTCCACAAAACAGATTTACTTAATAGTGTTTGGTGAATTAAATGTGATTCATTAAGGTATACATCAAAACCTTGCTGTATTGTTTTAAATTCCTTTTTAAACTGTTACACAGGATACAGCAGGGTAAAGCAACATCTGTCTTTCCTTTTTTCCCAGCACACTTAACCAAAGTACAGTTGGATTACCAGCTGCTCTGGTATCTCCACTGTGATCTGCTATGGTGATACCAGAATGGGTTAGTCCCTGGACCTCAGAGACAGAGTGGAAGATCGATAAGTGACAGTAAACAGGGCCCACAGGGGGACACTGTCACTGCACCACCAAGCTGTGCACGAATAGCTGGAAAGTGGGTGTCATCTCAGAAACCAATCACCTGTGTCGCTTGGCCGTACATATCTGCGGCTCCAGTGGGCCAGTCTCTCTCAGTATTTGGTTTCTCTGGTCACCATTGTCCACTGCGAAACCCAAGATGGTGAGTGTGGGGCATCGGTCTGCTTGCAATATATGTTCATGTTTGGAGGGACAAAAGTTTATCTGTTAACGAAATTAATGTTGGCGTTTGAATTGCAAATACTTCAGAACTAACAAATAGCTATACCATGCACAATTACAGATAAAGAAATGATTGATTGTAGTATTAAATTTAAACTCTAATAACAGATTAGACATTAGTTTTTTTTTACTTTTAGTTTCTTGTAAGATTTTTAACTCGACTTATTCTTAATTCTTAATTCTATCTTTGATTTGAACAATTTAAGGGTCATTCAGGGTACATTTCACTACATGTTGTACTTGTATAATTATGTATGTGACAAATAAAGTATCTTGAATCTTGAAAGACAATAGCATATGTCTAATTGCTACAGTATCTTCTACTGAAAGCTTCAGGTGTCTTTCTGTGTTTACACCAGCACAGTCATGATTTCAGGTGACATTAATGATTCCTTAACGTACACGTCACCAAATCCTAATATGTCTCTTTGGTATAATGCAGGACTGTGACTACGTTGTCTTTTTCTTTTCAGACTTCCTACACTGACAAAGGAGAAAAGGTAGACTAGTCATTATATACTTATTCAACAACACAAGGGCTGTCAATAGGACATGTCCCTTTGGCGTACTCACAAGTGTCTGTCGAACCTTACTCGTCCCTATAGATTGAACTGCATTGTTCAAATCAGGAAAGCATTCCTCAGCTCTCATTGACATTTAAGTAGAATTACAAAGACTTTGTAAAGTGGAGCCAACATTTCTCTTTGCATTTCTGTCATCCAAAATACAGTAAGTTTACCTCAAGCATAGCCTTTAAAACTTGTCAGGATACATTAATCTGTGATCAGTAGGTGCAAACCAGAGACAGCTAAACAGACCGTCAAATATTATTACATTTGCCGGTATGTCGTTGCTCATTCACCACAGGATTTTCAAATATTTCCTTTCAGCCAGAAAGAGGGCGATTTATTAAATTCCATCATATAACATTCTGGGTTGGAAATGCCAAACAGGTAAGTTTCAAAAGCATAACACTGATTCCAGAACACTCACTAGAACTGCTAAAAGTTCTTCCCTAGGATCTTCTTAGTATTTCCTTAAATGGACGGCATTGCCATTTAATTAAACAAACTGTTACAACGTAAAATAACAGGAATTCAATCTTGTTTTTAATTGTCAAAACACAATAAAACTGATCTTGAGGGTAAGACTCAATAACAAATTCCAGATTTTTCTCTGAGGGGCAAAAGGCTTTGGACTATGTCCAAGGTCATTCACCTTTTCTTTATGGAAATTACAATTTGGGAATTAAGACAAAGTCTCCAAGATATTTACAAAGAGTAATAATATATATAATAACAATATATTGAAGAGCAGTGATATTAAAACATATTAATCAAAACAATCTTTTGAAGAATATTAAATTATTCCTATTAAACTTTCTCACTTGACCAAAAAAGCCTGGTCTAATAGCAAAGCGCACCCTAGTGGAAAGTCAGTGCCAGTGCACTGGTGGCTGCCAACATGGATCTGAGACAGATCACTGATTATTCTCCTCTGAACTCCACGGTCTCCCTGTAGGCAGCTGTATTTTACTGCGACAAGATGGGCTTTGAACCCCTGGCTTATAAAGGCCTGGAGACGGGTAGCCGGGAGATCGTATCCCACGTAATCAAGCAGGACAAGGTTGTGAACCACCCGCCGTCCCTGTCACAAACATGCATACAGAGAATTTCTGCAGTTTTTAGGCAGTGAGAATGTAGACCTTTTCATTTCATATGCCATGATGCGGCTTTTTAATCCTACGTTTGGCAGAATTAACATCAAGGACAAACCTAGCGCACACTTCTCCATGCCATCTTAGAACTTCCCCTGTAGGCACAGCATTATGCCTCATTGCAGGGTCCTCCATAAGCAGAGAGCGGCCTTTATTTGATAATGCGTCTCTTATTCCTTTTCCAGATACTGTTTGTTTTTGAGTCAGCCCTGAACCCCGGAATGGAAGGTTGAGCACCTTTTTCATTCTGTGTAGAAAATTGATGCAGCATCACAGTGAGTGTTGTCTTCTCTGAGATTAGACAGCTCCTTCTGTATACCTATGTTCTACGCTCTTTATTTCCCCTCAGAAATGGGGGAGCACCTGATGAAGCATGGAGATGGAGTGAAGGACATCGCCTTCCAGGTGGAGGACTGTGACTTCTTAGTGCAGGTACTTGGCTGAGTATCACTGAGTATCACTGAGTATCACACCGCGGCAGGCATCCAGGAATTGGTTCCTTTGTGATTTTCTGGCGGGATTCTTTTCAATTAAGTTCAATTCAACTTTATTTGTATAGTGCATTTTCGCAACATTACATCGTCTCAAAGTGCTTTACATTATCCCTGTCCAAAGCCCCCAGTGAGTAAGCCAGAGGTGACAGTGGCAAAGAAAAACTCCCTAGTAGGAGAAAACCATGGGAGGAACCGGACTTAAAGGAGGAGCCCATCCTCCAGGGGGCAGCAGAGGAAGTCATAATTTATGCTCTTCATTGAGTTGGATTAGCATTGAGATTTCTGGATTTTTCAGGTGCCTACATAGCATACGTGTCCACATCCTTCGGGTGCTATAGAAAGGCGAGCACAGTGACCTTTACCTTGCAGACAGCAGACATTTAACAATGAGGTTGTCTGAGGCTAGGCAAGCAGCTTAAGTAAACTCTGCCCTGATTCCACTTCTCCAGAAGAAGTTATCGTTTAACCCACCGATAGAGAGTCCGGCTTATGCCTGGAGGTAGCTGACACATGTGAGGGGCCGCTCTGTTTACCTACGGCCCTCGGTGCTGACTTCAGCAAGCATTGCGTCCAAATTCAACAAGGTGAAACAGCCGAACACGTACAAGGGCTCCAGTGGCTGCTAGTTCCTTGCGAAGCGTCAGAAGCTGGACGTGCGCAACTCCCCCTAACTGACCCTCGATAGGTGATTTCAAGGCATTGACTGGTGGCAGGTTCCACAACCTTTTCTTCCAACCACAAGGGGGCTCTCTTTCCACATTAGACAGTATGCCTGAAATTCAATGAGCATCAAAAGCATCTATGTTTATAGCACATTGGCAAATATCTGTTTTCAGACAGCCAAAGAACGCGGCGCTGTGATAGTCAAGAAGCCCTGGGTGGAGGAAGACCAATACGGCAAAGTGAAGTTGGCTGTGGTCCAAACAGTGAGTTGGCACGACCCCAAGGGCTGAATTTCCCTCATCGCAGGCTGGACAGGAGGGATATCTTTTGCAATCTGACCAGCACGATAGACGATTAAGCATCCAATAATCTATATTGAGGGTTGACAGTAATTTGCTTTACAAACTGAAAAGCCCAACAGCCCAAACATGTATTAGACATGAATTAGCTAAGACTTCACAATCTGTGGACATCAGTCCCATTTCGATTAATCACCAACCAAGACTAAATATTTCTCAAAGCCTAATGTATTCAGGCCCTATTAGCGCATAAAGAACTCTTGAGAACTAAAGATATTTTTATCTTTTTATTTTTGTGTAGTATGGAGACACAACCCACACGCTTATTGAGTACCTGGAACCCTACAAAGGACTTTTTCTTCCTGGATACAATGAGCCACTCTACAAAGATGCTCTGCTGCCCAAGCTGTAAGTCAGACGAGTCCTGCAACCTCACCTCTTTGGTTCTGGAGTCTTCCGTAGCTTCTGCCAGCTAGATAGTGTTTGTGGTCACCACATGACACAAAGTACTTCAGAATACTTTGGGGGCTGTGTGTGGCTTAGTGGCCTAACCCAACCTCCCAGCTCCATGGGTGCTGCTGCAGATGGCTGCTCTAACCTACATATGTGCTGGTGTGGAGAGCAAGGTTGGGTAGGTAAAAAGAGAATTTCCCCATGGGGATCAATAATCATCATTTAATTTTTCATATCTACCATGACCTCTTCATGTCAAGTTAAAGAGGTAAATGTCCAGCTAGATTCTGTTTAGAAAACTCTAGAAAACAGTGGTGGGTTAAGCCTTCATTCACTTAAAGTTTTTCTCCACAGACCACCAACCTGTCTGAGCTTCATCGATCACATTGTGGGAAACCAGGCAGATGACAAGATGGTGCCAGTATCAGACTGGTAGGGAGAAAGAGGGTTTCGTGTAGCTGACTGAATGAGTCCGAGGGAGAGCAGGAGAATGTCCCTCACTTCGGTGGCAGTAGATGGCACATCATAACATTTTTTGTTTTCCTAAATCTCTGTTTTATGATGTCTGCTGGCTGATGTTCCAGTCCTTAAGTTCAGATTCACAGAGAATTGAGGGAAAGAAATGACCATTCTTATAGTTTCCATAACGTTTGGGTCACACACAATATACAATAGAAAGTTAGAAGTCTCCTAAATCAATATCAATATAGACAGACAGACAGATGATACATACATACATGAACAGTCTTGTTCATAGACCGGACCACCTGCATCCTTCCTCCAGGTACCAGAAGTGTCTGATGTTCCACCGCTTCTGGTCCGTAGACGACAAGCAGATCCACACGCAATACAGTGCCCTGCGTTCCATTGTGGTCACCAATTATGAGGAGACCATCAAGATGCCCATCAACGAACCAGCTCTTGGGAAGAAGAAGTCCCAGATTCAGGTGTGGCTTTGATGTTACCAGACCACTGGCCTATACCTGGTACCATTCTTCATGAGGAGAATTTTGTTATCATTTACAGCTGCAGGGTGTCAGTTATGACAGTTTTTGTTGCTGCATGCTCTCTAGAACCTCCTCTGTCATTTTAGGAGTATGTGGACTATAATGGTGGGCCTGGCGTGCAGCACATTGCGCTTAACACACCAAACATCATCCAAGCCGTGAGTACATTGTTTTTCTCTAGCAAAGGTTTCAGAGGGTGCCTCTCTTGGAAGAAATGCCCATGAAGGGCACAAGGGACATCAGTTGGCTTGAGTGAACTTCGTTGGGTCTTTTGTTTTGCTCTCTCTCAGATCATCAACCTTAGAGCGCGTGGGATGGAGTTCCTGTCTACTCCAGACACGTACTACAATACCTTGCGGGAGAACCTCAAGATAGCAAAGATCAAAGTGAAGGAAGACCTCAACAAGCTGCAGGTCTGCGAGCGTTAGACGTTGGGTCCTCTATGATTTACGACACAGCTGGCATTACCTTTCAAAACATAAAGCAAACGAAAAGCTGAACAGAACATAGAGCTCTCCCCATGTTCACTTAGGAGCTGAATATCCTGGTGGATTTCGATGAAAAGGGATACCTGCTGCAGATCTTCACCAAGCCTGTACAGGATCGACCAACCCTCTTCATGGAGATCATTCAGCGGCACAATCATTTTGTAAGTCTCCTGGGGGCCGGTGCATGTTTCTAATGTCACTTTCTTCAGTGATTTTGAGGTTTTAATGCTACAAAGCAAGCTGCCAAAACAACTCCATACCAAAGGATCGGTTGGGGGCACTGACACGGAGGTGGACTCCTCTGCATGCTTCCATGGGTACTCATGTAATAGCAGCTTGTTTGTCTCTTCCCAGGTCATATAGACCTTATTCATAAAACATTCACCACCAGGTGCTTTAAAACTCCTAGTCTGTTAACCCCCTGTTTTTTACGAAATGCTGTAAAGTGCCTCATAAATTTCTCAGACCTTGAGTTGAAGACAAATTGCTGTGGGCAATTTGGGATTTTATATTGCAGGGATCTTTATCTTTCCCTCGGTCACCAGGCAGTGCGATAAAATTTGCCTGAAACATGATGCACTCTTTTCAAAGGACATGAAAATCAGTCCTTTGGGTTACATTCATTTGCCGTAATATCAGCAAAACAGCGTGATCAAGACAACTTTTGGTGGGAAAAGGCATGAGACAGCATCTTGTCGTGGCCTTTATGTTCATGCTTGTGTCTCCTGCAGGGATTCGGGGCAGGAAACTTTAAGTCCCTGTTCGAGGCCATTGAGAAGGACCAAGACATGAGGGGAAATCTCACGATACTGACCCCGGACGGACAACCCAAACACTATTACTGACTCATGCTGGGCCCTCGCCACCAACCAATAAAAGCCGAACACAGACTGGGATTCAGCTTGATTGTACCTTAATTCTGAAGACCCACATGTCAGACATGGACAAGTCAAAAAAGTGAAAGACAGGTGTCTCTGTTGACCTTCATCATGGGCTAGGAGTTAAAAAATAAACTTACTTTGTGTCAAGAGTTTCTAATGGGACTCGGTCTTCTCGTGAACAAATCAACATGCACCTTCATAAGGTTTATTTCAAAATAATTTATTTGTATATAATTGGAATGAGGCCAGGCTGGTACATCATCAGCAATGGTATTTACTCTTTCATAAACATATTGTTTTGTACAGGGAAAAGAAAATATTTCCAGACCTGGCCAAAATGGATAAATATATTAGTAAATAAATATATTAGTGACATATTACCATACTGAAATGTTCTATTATATATAAAATACAACACTTTATTTTTTATTTTGTTTTTGACTTTCTCATTTACAAAATATACTGAGGAATCCCTTGAATTTTTATAGGGACTGTGCTTTATTGAAAGAAAGGCAGTTTCAGCTCATTCTGTGTCTAAAAAAACAGCAAAACAAAAACACAAGAAGGGACCCAAACTGGACCGAAACTCAGTGACATTTCATTTAAGGCTAATTTCCGCAGAGAGCGAGCTGCATAGTGCTGGTCTGCCGCAGAGCCGTTTGCATTTCAGCCGCTCTGAGACCAATTTCAGGTGTAAGGCACTGTCAAGTATCACGAGCAGTGGCGCCCTGACCCACCAACGGCCACGGGACGCATCACTCCCGCTTTTTTGTGATTATATGACGTGTACATTCTTCTAAACTAACTGCAGACTGTAATTTCTGAAACTACCATGCGTGCAGGCAAGTTCGACATTGAGATTTGGCTCGATTCACCTTCCAATCAATCGGATGCTTGGCCGTAGCGATAGCGGAGGGTGACGGCCTTGAAAGATCGGAGTCAACTAAAACTAGCTGAGATAAAATAGTTAAGCTTAGCCATGCTGAACTCCAGTCATCCCCATTTAACGAGAAATACAACTGATGCTCATAACGGAGTCAGATTAGCTTGGTGAGACATGGTTAAGTGCTATAAGCTTTGTGTTTTCCCCAGCTTGAGCTCTTACCCTCGGTGTCCACTTGCAACATTTTGGTCTGCTGGGCCAAATCACGACAAATTCACATTCATACCGCAGACTCCCAAATGCGCGGCCAACAGAGCGTCTGCTGTTTCAGCTTTAATGTTAAACAGTTATGCCTAAGCTTTGGCCTTTTTGAGATTTTTATAACACTTTTTTTTTTTAAATAGCAACCAGTGTTTTTTTATATTTAACTTAAAGCAGAGGACAAATGATTGCTGCCACTAAAATGCGTAGACCAAAATGTTAGACCATAACTTAGGACCAAAATGTTAGACCATAACGTGTAGACCAAAATGTTAGACCATAATATGCAGACGTGCAAGATGCCATGGTTGACTTGGCAACGCAGCAGGGGGTGTGATCCCATAGCCAGCGAGCGCCGCATCGCCATCCTGTTTGATCCGAGACTTTTGAGCTGATCTGAGGGCATTGGCATGAAATGGAAAAGTGACGAGGTGAAAGAGGAAAAAAAAAAAAACAAATTCAGTCAATTTGTTTCTTTAACATTGAAAACAACTAAGTCAGGAAGGAAAAAAAATGAAATGAGGACTCAGAGCTGCCTTTTGTTCGATCACCTGGCATGGAGCCTCTTTCTCTGTGAGCCCATCTGGGGTATGGGGTGGCTGCACTGAGAGTATCTCAGGTCAAAATGTGACAATGATACTTGTAAGGGCCCAGGTGAAGCTGAGGGAAGTGCTCGAGAACCTGATCCACGAGCAATGAGGAACACAAGACCAAACTGGAAGGAGCCACTGCCCCCAGTTCCACCCACCACACTGGTCGTGGGGCACTGCCCCTCAGTAGCTGCTGCCACCAATCTGCCCACTCTATCTGCAACCTGAGGTATGCTGGAGGACCAGGTGCATCGAACAACCGACTCTGACTCTGTGACCACTACAAGTCTTCCATAGTTCCCGATTCCTACATGCCTGAAAACGACGGTTAATTGAATGTCTTCTTTGTGTGTTTTTTTTCTTCGATCTGTGTATATTTCCTTAAAGAATGTGGTGATAAAATGCTTGTTTTTCAGCTGGGACAGGCCAAGGAAGTCCAGTCCTTGAGTGCTGATTTTTCTGGGAGGTCTTGAAGGCACTTGAATAGTCTGTATAAACATATTTCTCCCTCTTTGTGGATCTCTTTCCTTTTTTTACTCAAGCAGTTCCCAGCTCCAAAGTTTTTGCCACTTGAATAATTTTATTCATTAAATCTATTATATTTCATTGTAAGAAACTAAAACTGAATTTGGGCAGTAGTTAGCAGTCTGCGTTTCTGGTACAGTGTCTAGATGGCAATATTAATGTCTGCGGTATATATATGTTCCATAAATGAACTCCACTTTTAGTAGTGTGTCCATTAGAAAAGATCTGGTTGGTGCCTCTGGAACTGGGAGGAGCTGGAAAATTTCTGACAGAAAAGGGATTCTGGAATTATCTGGAAGACTTTCGTGTTATACTGTAGCTATGTTTGTCCATTCTGGCTCCTTGTAGCAGCGTGACATTGGGATACATCTCATATTCACACACCAGACTCCTCTTCTGATCCTGCGGAAGAATAAAAACACAAGGGTGGATTTTGAATTTTATCATTAATGTAGGACCCAATGAAGGCTCACAGACTGACAGCTCAGAAATCTTCACGACTGGGACTGCGAGCCGCAGCTGCAGCAGCACGTACCCTGACTGTTGTGTAAAGTTTGGCAGTATAAGCAGACGTCCGGGGCAAGCTCCGCGCCCGGCTGGTGGCCCCTACACTGCGGCCTGTCCACGGGGCCGCTGGGCCCCTGCAGCTGCGGCTCTGATCGGGCCTGCTGGACCCGCTTCTGCCACACAACATGGCCCCCGCAGCACGGCCAGTCACCCATCCCCCCCGAGTCCAAGATGAGGGGGACGGGCAGTAGCGGGGGCATGTCGGGGGGGCAGCAGTAGCCGGCTGGCTGGCCGTAGTGGATGTGGATGCTGCAGTCCTCCTGCAGGTCCAGGCTCTGGTGGAAGTGCACGGCTGGGGCCTCCAGCAAGCAGGTGCTCTTTTTCCGCCTGTGATGGCGGCTGGGACCCTGGTGGCAGCAGGGAGGGGGCCCCAGGGGAGGGTCAGACAGCTCGCACTCGGGTTTCTCAGGCCGGTGCGGGGGCCTGTCTGAGGGGTCCGGCTTGGGGCACTGGCATGGCTTGTGCTTGACCTGGCATGGAGGAGAGTCCTTGTTGGCACCAGGGCCAGGGGCGGCACCCCGCTCCTCGTCCACACCCCTGTCGGGACCTTGGCTGTGGTCGCCGTCCTCGTAATGGTGATGCCGGTGACGGTGGTAGTGGACGTGGTTGAACACCTGCTCCTCTGGGCAGCTCTGATTGACCACCGAGTCCAGAGAGCGGGGCCGAGCACTGGCGTCCAGACTGTCCCTGCGCGTGTGGCCCGGTCCGTAGTACACGAAAGGGTCATAGTCGCTGCTCAAGGAGCTACGGAAAGTGGACCAGCTGCCATAGACGCCCTGCAGACTCACATCTGTGCAGTTGAGAACAGAATCACTGGAGGAGCCGTGACAGGGCCCTGAGCTGGAGTCACTGGCTGGGCCGTCTGGGAAGTAGCCACTGCGCTCGGTGCGGTAGCTGCCCCCGGAGCAGCTGCCATCATCCTGCCGGCTGTGAGTAGCCACACGGGGTGGTGATGAGGCCCGCAGCCGGGAGCTGGAGGCACTGCGGGGTGGTGGGCAGCCCTGGCGGTAGCCATGACAGGTACGGTATGAGTGAGCCTGGCTCAGGTGCCTCCCAGTCCGGCAGCCACTGCCGGTCCGGTGAGGCCGAGTCCCATGGCCTTCAGGAAGGTGGTACCCAAAGTGGGCTGGCGCCGGACCCAGGGGTCGGTTCTGCAGGCAGCGCAGGACGCGTGGGTCCAGTGGAGGAGAGCTGCCAATGTGGCGTAGGGGGGGGTACTGACCAGGGGGTACTCGGGGGTAATGATGGCGAATGGGAAAGGGGATGGGGTGTGGCTGTAGGGTGTGGAGTCCAGGGTACTGGTGTCGCATTTGCTGAGGTTGACGGGGGGCCAGCTCTGCACCTAGAGGGCAGAACGTAACTTCAGACCAGACATCTGACACAGAAGACACTGAGGGACACTGAGAAAAAGAAAAGCTCTGCAAAATCAAACAAACCCCCATGTCCCGCTAAAGCACGGAGCACACAAAACTACAATTCCCAGGCAGGCCTGTTGGGGCAGGAACACATTACCCATGATGTTGTGCATGCACAGGGGGCAGGTACGATGCTGCAGCAGCCACGGGTCGACGCACTCCTTGTGGAACTCATGCGAGCATGATATTATGCGCAGGTTCTGAAACACAGATATCCTGCAGTCAGCGTGTGCATGCACGTCTCCAAATGCCCGTGCATGGAGGGAAAGTAGGGGGGAGAAGGAGCTTCTTGGATAGCGGCATGCTGGATACTGCCAGCTGCACTGTGGTTGCCAGAACTACAGGTTCATCGGTAAAAAAACACTTTGATTTGGCTCAGCCACCGAAGATACAGGAGCACCTGGTTCATTGTCAACCCCAAGAATACAAAAGATAGGAAAAGAGAATCGGTGGAGTAGCAATTCCATCTTCATTATTCCAACTGACGTGGTGCCAGAGAATCACAGATGTTTCCTAATGATGCTGCTTGTGTTCATCTCAGCTACACATTTCACACGTCCTCCCTAACACCATAATGCGACGCCCAATCACGAAACCCGGGCACCTTCTTCAGCCTTGATGGACAGTGACTTATATAATCGACAAATTAACTCAGCTTCTGAGTAATCCATCTCCTACGCTTTATGTAACAGCTCAAAGATTGTCACTTACAGTCTTTGGATTGTTAGAGGCATAAAATCAGTTCTCGGAGGTCGCTTTGGGCACTGCACGGAAAGGAACTTTGATGTGCCGCGAAACCCAAGAGCCACATGGTGACTTCTCTCCAAGAGCTCCCACCTGGCCATCCAGGAATTCCTCCAGGCAGATGGCACACATCGGACTGGAACTGGAGCTGCTGCCAGACTCGCGGTGGCCTCCATGGCGCTGGCTTGCAGCACAGCCCTGCGAGCTGTAAGTACGCGTTTCTAGTTGGCTGATGGCACGCATAGTCTGCTGGTGAACCGAGTCCTGCACCCACAAGAGACATAATTGTGCTATTAGCCTGCCTCTGTTAGACACCAGTAAATAATGCTAATGGATTTTTTGCTAAATATCATGTCAGGCGTACCCAGTTCCGGTTGGACTTGCAGCGGTACCGAAAAGCAAAGATCATGATGATGGCCAGAACAGCCAAGACCACGGTGAGCAGAATTCCAACGTCATAGTGAGGCTGTGGAGAGATGGACCAACAGCATTATTACAAGGGATGGCGATGTCTTAAGACAGACACACTACATCACCTTCTTCTGCAAGGCTAACATCAATCTAAGCAGCTTAACATGAAATAACCTGAACATATATCGCACTGGTGACTTGTGGAATGGTTCCATGAGTAGACCAGTAGTGTGGTTACAATCGACCAGATCCAAGGATGCCAAACTGGACATGACATGCAGTAGCTTCTCTGCAAGTGTCCCTGTGCTGGGAGTTAACAGCAACACCACGTAGGAAATCCCACCCCCTGGTAGGGTTTGGCTTGTTGACAAGAAGTGAAATCTTGCTCAGGAAACAATAGTGGCAGAGACAATGGCCCGACCATTTATAGAAGGACCATAAATGTTTACACAGCACTTATCGGCCCATGCTCACACTTCATAAAGTCAACAGCAAGCCAAACTCTCTGGCAGTTTGGAGGAATAAGATCTTTGACTACTTGAAGGCCACTCTCCGGATAGCTTACAGGGTTCATAAGGATATACAGGATGTATGCGCAGGTTCAATGTAATTGAATAACTAATCAACCTATAAATAATTGTAAAAATAAAGAGTTTTAGGAAAGGGGTCACGGAGGGCGGTGGCACCCACCCATTTGGGCGGCTCGATCATGACTTCGATGCGAACCATGGCTTCTTCGTTCCTGTTGACCAGGCCCATAAGTACCTCGGCATCCTTGGCCTGGACCAACACCACGGGGTTGAGCAGGAAGTCCGAGCTGACCAAAGATTCGTGAAGCTGCGTGGAGGAGATAGGAAAAACTCAGCTTCGTGGGGGACAAAGCGTGGGGTACGGCGAGGAACTGGGCTCACCTCAACTGCAGCACCTGCATCGTCTGTGACGTCAAAGATGACCGCCTGAGCTCCACGTTTCAGCGCCAGGCGAGCCTGAGAGGATGACAGTGGGAGGGATATGAATCGTAGTGCTGGCAGCCCATGTTGGCAAAAAGCCATCACATATGACCAGTGACCACTGCTCATACATCCAGGAAACAGAAGATGGAATAGAGAAAAAGGGAGATGGAGCTAAATTTACGCTAGGAAGAAGCCCTCAAGATGGACTGATGTTGCATCATTAGCTTTCAGACAGCAGTATTCAACAAAAACTGCAAAGAAAAAAAAAACATCCAGTGAAAATAGGAGACTAGTCCATTTCACTAGAGGGCGACATCAGCACAGTCTAGCAGGCTCAAGTCCAGCCAGGCAAGCAGATGTTACGCAACTCTGGTTGGCCGGGACGGCCCTCTGATGGAAACCAGTCACCACAGTGAGAATAAGTGAATGTGCCAGGCAGCCACCCCAGTGGAAAAGCGCACGTTCTGCAGGGCGACACCTCTTCTGCTATGTCTGAATGCTAAACCCCGAAATATGAGATGCCAACAGTCGACAGGGCTACAGTATGGCATACATGAGCAGATGCAGGTGCTATCCTCAGCCCCAGTAAGTGACAGTGGTGTATGTAGGGGGGGGGCAAGTCATCTCTTATTTCAAACCAAAACAAACACGGAGATGTACCCAGTGGGTAAACATCAGCTAAGCGCAACGTGAGCCAGAGCACGTCACGGTGGTACACATACCCGGGAGGGGGGGGCATGGGGGGGGGGCGCCTGAGTCAGTCGCTGCTCGGCCCAGTGGGAATTCAGGCTTGCTCTCACTGTTATGTTCGACACGCTCTGCCAAAGACACGAGGAAACTTCCGGAGAGAGATTGAGCTGGCTATTTAGGGCATAGTTACCATTCAGGGTATAACTATAATTCAAAATCAAGATTTTACATAATGAGTCTGGCCTCATGGAAGCCAGATACTGTTCAGCTTCTAGGGTGGAGTTTGTGCGCACGCTGAGATTAATTATTATTATAATGAGAAAGGACATTTCAATATGTCTTAACAGTTTTCACCAACTAATACAGTTACTGTACTATAATACTGACAAAGTTGTATAGCCTCATTAAAATACAATAATTTGGTACCAATGCGAATATTTTGCCCAATTATTAAAAAGCCAATAGAGCCATTAGTGTTTCAATACGCCATTAGGGTTATATGGTGTTCTGGAGTGTTCTGGGAGCACAGCAGGGGTGTGGGCCAATGGCCACATCTCGCTCCAAACAGCGGCTTCAAGTAAAATGGGGGGGCAGGAACAACACCTAAAGTCCACCCATCCATCCACCCATCACAACTTACGGATGCCTCCTTGCCAACCATCACTTTTTAACGCTAGAAGATCAGAACACTAGGTGAGGAGGGCAGGCTGTGTTCATGGTTTACCTGAGAGCATGTCAGGTTTGGACCTGTATGTGTGTTTTGTTACACGCTGAAGATAAGAGGTGTTTGGTGGCGGTTTCTCTGCTCAGCCGTCCTTTGTGCCCGAACCTACCCACCTGCCCATCTGCCCCTCCTGCCCTCGACTTCCACGAACAGCTATTTCGAATGTAAGAACAGAGTTCAAAGGGTGTCACGTTACGCGCTGGACCGCACTCGGGGAGAAAACAAACTCGGGTTTCACACCAGCAGGAGAGGTGTGTGTTTCTGAGCAAGGAAGGGCTCAGACCAGGGTGTTCAGTACCAGGGCTTTCTGTGATGTCACATATTCAGCGAATGTTCAGTCACATAACATTCATTTACTCACTGTACAATACCCACTGTGCAATACTATTTATCACTGTACGCCCCACCGCGCAGTAATATTTATCACAGTACAATACCCACAGTGCAATTTCATTCATCACTGTACAATACCCACAGTGCAATTTCATTCATCACTGTACAATACCCACAGTGCAATTTCATTGATCACTGTACAATACCCACAGTGCAATACTATTTATCACCCACTGTAAAATATTTTTTATTACTGTACTATCCACCATGTTATACTATTTATCACTGTACTATACACCACACGAGTGTATAGTATGGCTTTTTATAACTGTACATTCTACTGCACAATACTATTTATCACTGTACAACCTACTGTACAATGCTATGGATCACATTACAACCTGTGCAATATTATTACTATATGACCCGTTGTACAATATGTATCACTGTACAACCCACCGTACAATATAATTACTGTACAATCCGCCATGCAGTCCTATCACAGAACAGTCCACCATAGAGTACTATTTATTACAATATATTCCACTGCACAACACTATCACTATACAAGCAGCTGTACAATTCTATTTATTACTGTACAGCCTGCTGTGCAATGCTATTTATCATTGTACAACCAGTTGTACAATACTAATACTGTAAAAGCTGTTATATTTGTTACTGTACAACATACTGTACAATACTATTACTGTACAACCCTCTGTACAGTGCTATTTATTACTGTACAACCCACTATGCAATATCCTGTGTCCTAACATATACTCCCATGATAATCATCAAAATGATCTGTCATTTGTACCACTTGGGATAGCTTTCCTTCACAGCTGGCATTAATTAGACTTGTGACTGTCTGTCCATCCATCCATCCATCCATCCATCCATCCATCCCTGGGTGTGTGGGATAAAAATACAAGTAGAATAGGCTATAGGGTGTTTGTTAGACCAGAAGCAGGAACCCATGGAACAATGTGTAAATGATCAAACGCACCCTGCAGACAGTAGCTTGGATGTTAATCTCATCTCTTCTTCACGCCACTCTCCCTGGTGGGGTCCCCCTGGTGGCAGCAGGCTGAGCCGGCCAGACCAGGCCTGCCGTACCAAGCCCAGGGATTCCAAGGCGTTCCCAAGCCAGCTGGGAGATGTTCTCCCTGCAGCCTGTCCTGGATCTGCCCCAGGGCCTCCACCCAGTGGGACGTGCCCCGATCAAACCAAATTCCTTATCTAAATTTGCAGGACGCACCACGCTAATCTAAGCGGGCGCTCATTAGGAGCTGACCTTTCTCTATTTTCCGTGATAGCTCGGTCATATCAATAGATCACCCTGGAGATTGTGGCAGATGGCGGACAGCTCATCCGGCTGTGCTAGAGCTTCAGGTCTGCAAGGCGCATTGCCCTAGCAACGGCCAGGTCGGTGCCCAAGGCTGCTGCCCCGCAGCTCACTCCCACACATGCGATCCGGGGACGTGATACCCTTTCCGACAGACACCGGCTGACGTGTCCCTTTGGGATGCCGCTCACTTTATATGCAAACACAGGCCAGGGAAATGTAACGTAAATCATGGCTTCTGATCCGATTCTTTCATTTCAGGACACAGTTGGAGATGTTATTTCTCTGCCAGTGTAGGCCACCAGGTGACGTGCTTTCAGTACCTCGCTGCTCCAAGTGGGACCTCTTGCTGAAACTAACTGTTCCGTGGCCAAGACAGAACCTGAAACTCTCCAACCCGGACAACTTGATTGAATATTCAGCCCAAACACAAGGAAACATACTTTTTAAAACTGATCCTTTTAAGCATATGTAATTAACCAGCAGCAGGCAGCATGTCAGCATTTCAGCAGGGTGATACGATCTGTCTTGTTTTGGAGAGGTCATGCTGTAATGACTTCTTCAGAGACTATGATGTGGCATAAATCACTTTTATTTTCTTGATCCGCTATTCCTAACTGGCACGCTTCATTGTATGGCGTTTCTCCCCTTGCAAAATGCTTTTCTGTCTTCTCGCATACTCTCCACGATTTACAAGCACTCCGATGCCAGTATGTTTAAAAAGCATCTTCAAATGGCTGTCCGCTTTCGTGCCGCGCGTTTGTAGCACGGCTTTGGCTCGATGTTATTGCAGGGCTCACGGATCATCTTGGAAGCTGACTTTGATGTCTTTATCCCATTGTTTCGCTCACATTTTTCCGTTGTCTGGAAGGCCGTATCGCTCATTAAGATTTCTCAGTCTGTCATTGATTTAATACGCTGTTTACGGCATAGCTAACTGGATTTCTTACGATATTTCTTTCATCTGGAGCCCGGTGAGCGAGAGGACTTACTGTACGGCACGAAACATCGATCTGCTCATTTCGTGAGATGCATGATTTTTTTCCCCCAGACGGGTAAATAAATTCTTTTAGTACTGTGAAGTCTATAGCCCAGAGCACCAAACTATGCAAATCCATACATCCAGAAACAAAACCCAGGATGGAGGCCGACCTGTTATCTTTTTATTTCCAGTAGGCAATTTGAGTACAAAGACCTTCTGTATAAAACATCTTGGCAAAGCTGGAAAAAAATCAGACACTTGAGATGAAGAAGAAAGGCGATCTTCGAGACAGACGGAGAGGAATGCTAGACGCATAAAGCAGCAGGGCGGGTCTGGGCAGCAGAGCTGATGGACCTGTAAGCAGTGTCCCTTCAGAGAGACAGTGGCCGTTCGCAGCAGCCTCCACCACGGCGCTTCGAGGGAGCTGGGACAGACGAGCCTGGGGGGCCAAACGGCCTGAGAGACTCCAGGCCTCATACACGGGACCGGGACCGTGGTTTGGGCAGGTCGAAGGTTCGACAGGGGGGTGGGCGACGCGAAGCGGTGAAGCGTTTTGGAAGTCAGGAGAATGAAAATGCCTGAGAAGATGGACTGCATCCAAACATGCCCCCACCCCCAAGCACACCCCCCCCAAAGCTGGAGCCACTGCTTCCAGTGTTACTGCTCTCCAAACGCGGAAAGTGAAGGGGCCGGTGTAAATGGAGGGCTGGGATGCATGCTGATCACTAGGCCCTGGAATTTCTGCAAGGCTGCATACCACCCACCTGTATGAAGACCCCCCCCCTTGCCATGGCACCTGACCACATAAACTCACACCCCTGCCTTGGGCCGCTGTAATTCAACAGCACGAGCATGAACACGTTTAAGGTCACAGCCTCGAGCTCTTCTGGGGACATTCAGAGACAAAACTGTTGAGAAAAGCTACATTTTTGATGGAATCCAACCGCCCCTCCCCCTAT